ATGGCTGTATGGTTACATGCATTACATTCTTGTTGGTCATACTCTTGTATTTGATACAAGGAAATGTCTTCAAATAGGATCAAAAATTCAAAATACACATTCTCACGATATATCTCAAGTTTCTGCCACCTAGTTGTCGCCTATCGAGCAATCACCAATAGTTCCAAAGTAGAAATTGGTAAATTCTATACCCTAATAGACATAAACGTCAATGCTAAGCACTAAAATCTAATCATAATATAGGCTAATTTATTACATTCTCCAAAATAAAAATTCTGTACTCCGTATATTCGAATTCTAGGCAATCACTAGTAATTCCAAAGAAGAGATTGATAAACCTTTTACCCTAAAGTGTGACATAAACATCAATGTAAGACCTACAACCTCATTACACGTCTTTTAGGCCAAATGGATTAGATTTTCTAAACTAAGGTTATATATAGCTAAGGAATATAATATAAATAGATTTATGTTTGAAAAAATTAAATTTGGTTTCAAACTATCTTCTTCTTAGGAAGTTCGTACAATTTATTGCCTTAACAAAAGGGTAGCTAGTATTGATTCTATTGAAGCTGGATGTTCATTTGTTAGCTCAATTGGAAACTCATTGGAAAAATATTGGTTAGGATTGAGGAAGAAAGTTACTTAACAATATACATGCATGTAGACAAGCTAATACGAGTAGTCGACAAAATGTGATTTTAGATCTATACTTAAGTGAAGAATATATGTTTAAAGTAAAGACACAGTGACTATGAAGATACAAACATAGTTATGTAGTGGTACTATACGTGTTACTACTTTTTTTATGGTAATACGTGTTACTACTAATAATAGTGACTATGACTAATAATTTTGTTACTAGTTATATTTCAATAAAATTTAAGGGGAAAAAGTGATACAATACGTGTCTTGAAAATAATTGGAATGCAGGCTAAAAATTGCAAATCAAAATTTCGAAGTGCTAAGCATTCTCTTGACTACATTCCTCAATATCAACTGTTGAAGGAACATGTCTTTTTATTTTAAGGAATGTGGTGCCAATAATCTGCAAATCTACAGGTGCAATCGATCTGTTGTGCTTGAATGTTACACAAATAAAAAAAGTAAAGTCTCTTCATCGCTATCAACTATAGGAGTGTTTGCAATTGCTTCAACTTTAAAAAGTGATTTTTAAATTGATTTTGGGAAAAGTGATTAATAGTAAAAGTTGTTAGTGTTTGAGAAAAAAGTGATTCTGAAAAAGTAAAAGTTGGTAGTGTTTGGTAAAATAAGTACTTTTGTGTAATAGAAAAAGTGAGAAGCAGTTTAAAGCACCATTCTACCTGCTTCCGGCTTTTAGCTTTTAAGTGATTAATTTAAGCAGAAGCTGTCATTTGAAAACACTCTTTTCGCCTTTTTTTAAGCCAAAAGCTGAAAAGCGTTTTTTTTAATCAACTTCAAACACTCCTTATATCTTTTAGCGTAGTGATACGCACTAACGCACTTGATCCTCACAATGGGTATCACGACATGTTATGGGTTCCACCCCGACAATATAGCATACTGCATAATTGTATGCTGGTAGGTGTTGGGGGAATTGCAAAGCCAACAATCTGCCAATTTGTCGGTACAATCATTTTGTCTTGCTTGACAGCTACATAAGTACAAAGACATAAAGTTGTCCTTTGGCTACTGGTTATAACTTTTGGTATCGTGAATCCGTGATAAGCGATTGATCCTCACAAAGATATTCATTATTTTGTAGATAATATTTGAGTGGTAAAATATAGATAGTATAAAGCACACTTGGAAATTTCAATAACTAATACTATCGTATTCTATTTAAAATATTGCCTCCTCAAATCTTAGAGCGCATGTGAAGGCTAGTTATTTCCTGGTAATGAATCACTCATTTAATTTGAATTACTAGTACAAAATATATTATATATTTATATTTATATTCCGTATATAGAACCTAGGATGTCAGAGTATTTAGATTTTGACCAAGAGATTTGGGCTAAGACTCTATTTGCACCAATCACTTAAAATAAGTGATTGTGGTTTTTTTAAAGAAAAAAACTCTTATTTTATCAAACACTACCAATTTTTACTTTCTCGGTTTTCGTGTAAAATCTACTTTTTACTTTTTCTATTACACAAAAAGCACTTATATAATTTAGGCTAAAGGGCCAAATAGGCCCTTGAACTGACTTAAAATGTTCAATTAGCCCCTTATATAGGAGGTTCTGCCCGGCCGTCGCCAATTGGGGCGGTTCCCGGTGGAATATTTTGATGAAATATTTTGAGAATCTTCTTCATTAGGTCTACTTTACTCATACCAAATTTCAGCTAAAAATTCAACCGGGAAGGCAGTCAAATGATTTTTTGAAGATAACTGCGAAGTTAAATAGCGCAGAATATTTTGAAAAATCATTTGACTGCCTTCCCGGTTGAATTTTTATCTGAAATTTGGTATGGGTAAACTAGACTTAATGAAAATTCCACCGGGAACCGCCCCAATTAGCGACGGCCGGGCAGAACCTCCTATACAATGGGCTAATTGAACACTTTAAGTCAGTTCAAGTGCCTATTTGACCCTTTAGCCTATAATTTATCAAACACTATCAACTTTTACTACTAATCACTTTTTCTCAAAAAGTGCTTTTATTAAACACAAGTGATTGCAAACGGAGCCTTAGTATTTCGGTCTGTGGGAGTGTTTGCAAATGTTTTTGCTTAAAAAAGTACTTTTTCTTAAGAAAACACTTGCGAAGTGATTTTGGAAAAAAGTGTTTAATAGTAAAAGTTGACAGTGGTTGAGAAAAAAATGATTTTGAAAAGTAAAATATGGTAGTATTTGGTCAAATATGTGCTTTTTGTGTAATAGAAAAAATAAAAAAACATTTTTCAGCCAAAATCTGAAAAACGTTTTTTATGTAGAAATTATCATTTGAAAACATTTATTATTTTTAAAGCCAAAAGTAGAGAAGCGTTTGTTTGTTAAGTTGTTGGAATCAGACATATCAAGTGTCGCTTGCCTAATTTAAAGCAGTGTTTGCATTTGATTAAATTAAGTGCTTCTGAACTTTTAGCTTAAAAAAGCATAAAAAGATGTTTGCAAATGAAAACTTTTGCTTAATTTAAGCACTTTTAAGTTAAAAGCTGGAAGTTACCTTAGGGGTGCTTTTATCTGCTTTTAAGTTATTTGGTAAATATCTTTGAGGATAAATTTTATCCCTAAACATACGGCTCAAATACTAAAGTACCCTCCTGACACATCAATCTCCCAATCTAGCTTTCTTCTCCGAGCTCTCCGTCTCCCCCATCGGGTTTAGGTTTTAGAGGTGAACCAACACAGACGTTTTGCTACACATATTCAATGTGTATTGCAGTCTTTAGGACAACCAAATAATACATTAATATTGCTGAGTGATAGATCTAATAATTACAGTCTTTAGAAACACAAATTTGGTTTAAGTTTGGAAACTCTCCTGTCTGCAATGAAGAATGCCCGCCACCCATATTAGGGAGTGGGAGTGTTTGCAATTGCTTCAACTTTAAAAAAATAATTTTTTAAAGTGATTTTGGGAAAAGTGATTATTAGTAAAAATTGATAGTGTTTGAGAAAAAAGTGATCTGAAAAAGTAAAAGTTGGTAGTGTTTGGTAAAATAAGTACTTTTTGTGTAATAGAAAAAGTGAGAAGCAGTTTAAAGCACCCTTCTAGCTACCTGCTTCCAGCTTTTAGCTTTTAAGTGATTAATTTAAGCAGAAGCTGTCATTTGGAAACACTCTTTTCAGCTTTTTTTAAGCCAAAATCTAAAAAACGCTTTTTTAAGCAACCCCAAACACTCCTTTAGTCTACCGGTCGGTGGTGTTGACTGAACAAGATTTAAAAAAATACTTATATTATATTCATTAATATAGATCTTATTAATGCAAGGGTATTTTTGTACTTTAATAAAACTTTACATCAATAATCACTTTCTACCAAACACTTCAACTTTTACATAGAGATGACAATTGTGACCGATCCAATGGATACCCGTACCGAACCGTCCCGGTCGAAACCGGGAAAACCGCATTGACTGGGTAACGGGTACGGGGCGTGGAATACCCGTTTTGTTTTTACGGGTAACGGGGCGGTTACGGTTTTATACATGTCTACCCCATTACTCGCCCCGTACACGCCCCGTTTATTTTTAGTTATATTTTTATCTATTATTTGTCCTGCAAGTAATAGAAGATGCGATTTTTCTATTTTTATCCATATTGTATATATGGATAATAGATGTACTAACTACTCCCTCCGTCCCGGAAAATTGTTCCCACATTGACTTGGAACGGAGTTTAAGAAAGTGGAAATATATGGTTGTGGTTGAGTAAGAAAAAGGTAAATGAATTGTAGCCACAAAAAACTTTCCAAAAGAGGAACAATTTTTTGGGACGGCCCAAAAAGAAAACAGGGAACAATTTTCAAGGACGGAGGGAGTATAATGTTTAATGAGAGTTCATAATAGCTCTTAATAGTCATGTTTGATTATTATTAGATTTTTTAGTGATTAATTATTTTTAGGTTCAAATTAATTTATGTTGTCTTCTTTCTTGTTTTGTAGATATACGAAACTTAAAAGTGGCATCTGAGTCTAAACTCATATAGGTTATGTCATTTTTCGCCCTTTAAAATACAAAATATTATTTTTATATTAAAATATCAATGACTCATATAATAAAGTGATCACCCGCGGGTACCCGCGGTTATACCCGTTACCCGTTGGGGCGGATATGGTTTGGGTAATGGGGTGATTATGAGGCGGAGAATTATCAAATGTGACGGGTACGGTTATATGTAAAATCGTCCACGAACCGCCCATTGTCATCCCTACTTTTACATTTTAATCACAATCACTTCTATTCTCAAACAATACATACTTTTACTATAAATCACTTTTCTAAAAAACTCTTAAAAAATCATTTTGAAAAAGCACAACCAATCAAAATACTCCCAAGTTTTAAGTCCAAACAAATATGGAGCAGTGGTCTAGACTCTAGAGGCCTGCTTAGACACCAAGCTTTAAACCCAATTTCGTCATTTTTCGAAAGTTTCTCACGCAAAGCCCGTAACGATCCCTGCCGTCGACGACCTGCCTATCTCCGTCGATTACGACGTCGAACTGGCTGCTCATTCGTGAACTTAATTGCAGTAAGACTCATTCTTTGCTCTACATTCATTTTTTGTTTTATTTCCAAACAGTTGATTAATTTTTTTCTGGATCTCCTGTAAGTTGGTGTTCTCGTTTCTAAGATTAGGGATTTCAATTTTGCGACTTTAAGATCAACAATTTACTTCAATTTTTCGTTCTTTGAAAAGACTGCACCATATAGTCAATGATGATGGTAATGTGTTTTTGTCCTAGTTATTTTAATTATGAAATAACTACGAGTTATAGATAATAGACTGCGTGGATTTAAAGACTAAATGGCGTGAATCTCTTCTTAGCAACTATTGTTAGTGTAGGCATGGATGTTGAAGATGAGGGAGCTACTTTTCTCAAGCAATTAAGCAAGAGGCATAAAAAGTTTAAGCAAACAGAAGAGAAAAATACAAACAATGGTTTAGAAATAATCCATTTGGATCACATTGCAATGGATGAGAAAGTGCAGGGGCACAAAGTTTTTGAGGAAGGAGGTTTCATCGAGAGGAGAAAGTCCACTGAAGCTTTTGAAAATAAAAAGAAAAAGAAAAAGACAAAGAAGGTCTTGGAAGGTTCAGTAGACAATGACGGAAGAATGGGTGAAGAGGGTGGTGGATGTTGTGCAAGTCAAGTGGAAATGAAGAAAAGAAAAAGAAGTGTTAAACACAATGTAGATGGGATAAAAAATACTTTTGGTTTAGACAGTGAGGATAACACACGTTCAGTTGCAACTAAGCTGATGCAAAATAAAATCGGCAAGAAGGTAAAACTCACAGATGAGTGCAATGAAGATAGTAAAGACATGGTCACAAAGAAGAAGAAGAAGAAGAATAGAGAGAATAAAAGGAAAAGTAATGCTGTTTGTGCCAATGTCAAGGAGAAATTGGGCGGATGTGATCCCCAAGATGCAAACCCCAGAAAAAACAAAAGAGTGCAACTTGCTGATGAGTTGGAGGGTTGTCTGGTTGTAAATGTTCCTGAAAAGAATAAGGAAAAAAACAAGGAAGTGGACAATTTAGTTGAAGGGAAGCGGTTCTCAAAAGAAGAAGATGAGATCATCAAAGAAGCTGTGTCTAAGTACATAGAGATGCATGAATTGGGTGATGAGGGGCTCAATATGGTTCTAAATAGCAAATCCTTGCCAAACCTGAAAGGCTGTTGGAAACAAATAGGGGCTGCCCTTCCTCGCCGACCTTACAGAGCTGTTTACAATCGTGCTCAAAAAATGTTTCGTAAAAGCGAAATCCCTTGGACCGAAGAAGAGTACGAATTCGTAAAAAAGTATCATGAAAAACATGGGAATCGGTGGGCAGACATGGCTGAGGAACTTGGAAAGTACAGAACTCACATCTTTAATGCATGGCTTAGAAGAATAAAGCTTCCCAATTTGAAGAGGGGCCGTTGGTCTCAAGAGGAGTACCAAACTTTGTTTGATTTAGTGAATATCGATTTGCAACTGAGGGTCTCTGAGGAGAAGAAGTCCAGACATGGTATGTTGCGTGACAACATCTGTTGGATCGCAATAAGTGACAAGTTGGCCACACGAAATAACACAAGGTGTTGTGACAAATGGTACCACCACTTAACATCACCTTTGGTTGCCCAAGGCAAGTGGACAGATTCTGATGATTACAGACTGGTGGGTGCTCTCTATGAATTGGATGGAAGCTGTATAGAAAATGTGGACTGGGACAACATTCTTGAGCACAGGTCTGGTGAAGTAACTCTGAAGCGTTGGAAGCAGATGGTTCGTCACATTGGTAACCATGAAAACAAACCGTTTGCCGAACAAGTCGAGATTTTGGCAAAGAGATACTGTCCATACTTGCTTGAAGCAAGGGAGGCTTGGGACAGCAAGCCATATGTACAGTGATTCCTCGTCATGCTTCTTCCATAGTATGCGATAGTCATCCTCTCTTATGCAATTGCCTTATGCTTAAAGTTCTACTTTTGTTTCTTTGGTTTTAAAACAGTATTCTTTAAGTTACTTTTCAATTAAGACGTCTAGATAGTGAAAATTACAAGTTATCAATTATCAGTACATTGTAATAAATCATTCCAATGATTATTTTTATTATAAAATGTTTTATATGACTTCTCCCCCGCGCCACTACCTGTCCATGTTGTTATAGTTATTAAAGCATGTGACCAATCAGCTGGCGGAAGTAACTTGGCCCACACCATTTTCAGCATTATCCATAGATATAAATACTCCAATTATGTTTTGAAGGCTGATGATTTATAAGTGTTACTCTATAATTTCAGTATTAGTGTGACACAGTTGGTTCCGGATCTGAGCAACTTGTTGTAGTTAGGGGCGAGCAGACGGGTAATGGAATAGTTGGTGAGGGCGGATACTGGTTTGAGGTGAGTTATGATAAGTTCCCCTTTCTAATTATAAATATATGGAGCAGAGCAGTTCAGCCTCTCATAATGCAAGGGTCAGACCTGACCCTACACTTTACAAAATGGGTAATCAGTATGACCAGTTTGTTAGGAATAAATTGTTATTAGATTTTAATGATCCTGCAAAACTTAGGTTTTGAGACTGTTTCTTTGTTAAACCGGTTCTTGAAAAACCAGAACAATCTATTCACCCCCTCTAGACTGTTTCTCTGTTAAACCGGACCAACACAGTTTTTAAGTATTTTTAGTTAATCTATTAACTTACGAAGTTAATTGGGTCAGGTCTTTCACTCTTTGGTTCTAGCGAGGTGCAAATCCGAAGCAACCAATAGGTGAAGACTGCGGCTCCAACCCTCCATCACAGGAAGGCAAGAGCTGTATAGTCCAGATCTGTCCATGTGTTGACTACCATTATACCATCTTCTTTTCTAGCAACTAACATACACTTCTCTACTTATTTCCCCACTTTTATAAAAAAAAAAATAGAAGAAAAACTAAAGACATTATTTATAGTTGTTTTTTAGTCTTCATAATCACGAGGGAACCCCTTCTATCAGGTTATAAGCCTCCATGTATCATTATTGCTTATTTTCTGAATTCTCACTTTCTCTTTTTCCTCAGTATTTTGCATTATTTGTGAGGTGGGCAACATCCTTTCTGAGCATCTATTCTCATTGAAATTACACTGCCTCTTCCTTTTTTTTGTGTAATCAAAGAGCTTTACAGGATGTGCTATTTGCTAATTCAGTAATTCTATTAACTTCCTTCTTTTTTGTATGTAACTCTGCACGTTGGGTTATTTCTTCTTGACTAATTTTATTTTCCTTTGGACTTGTTAATTGATTGTAGTTGTTTAAAAACTGTTAATGTTATGGATTTGGAAATTTGAATTTCAAGTTAACTGCTTGCATGGTGCATAGACGCATAGTGCATGCTGGTGATCTCATTCCCCCATACCTGACTTGATAATTTCATTGTTGGACACTCTTGGTCATATTGTTCTGGTTATTGTCTCAGACATAACCTGGACAACGGGGCATAAAAAATACGGTGTCCTTTTGAAAAATTCTGAGGTCGTTGTTGATAACAAAGCGTTGATAAATGCCTTCAATTTTGTGGGAAGTTCAACACCACCTAGTTGATTGGATCCAATTTCAACTTCATTTGAGTGCCTATTTTGCTTCTTATTTGCAGTGATGGACCCGGGCCGGGTCCTGGTCGGGCCTAGGCCCGGGCGGGCCGGCAGTTCAGAATTGGTGGACCCGGGACCGGACCGGGTAGCCACCGGGTCTGGACCCCAAAAAATGAAAAAAAAAAAAAAACAATTCGGCCCGGACCAGGGCCCGGGCCCGACCCGGCCGGGCTGGTTCGCCAAATGTAAGACCCGAGCCCGGACTCACCCCCCCACCGGGCCTAGGCCCGACCCGGACCCGAGAACCGGCCCGGCCCTGCACAGTAGCGGGCCGGGTGGCCCGACCCGAATCCATCCCTACTCCTTTGTAAACACTAGCAAGCTAGACTACTTGCACTTACATGTACCCACATTGAAGACAATTTTTCCATTAGAAGACCCAATGTAAGAGGCGGACTGCAGTTAAAAATAAAGAACCACTAATGATAGCATTTCTCTTTCATAGTTTTGGCTCCTGAAATCTTATTTTACAAGTTAATGTGATTTTCACTTAGCTTTGTTGATTTTACAGAATCTGAGAGCAAATGTGTATTTTGTAATAGCATCACATTGTCCTATGATATCAGCTTCACCTCCAACCACTAACAAAAGCTCAACTCACACAATCAAACTCTTCAATACCTCCTTGCAAATCCTTGTCCTACAGAAAGACAAAAGCATAATTGGTGCAAAAAAAGCTTCAGAGCTACACTAGAAAGATCTTCCTCACAAAGGGTGTGAGGTTTGAAGCATTTCAAGAAATGTGTATTCTCATAAATGAAGTAAATAAAGACGATAAGAAAGAAAGAGATGATAGAGGCACAAGTTGAATTGAAGGATTTTGCAAGCGTTTTGTTGCGTATGACAATATTGATGGTAGAACGTAACTAGTACTTGCTTTACACATTTCCTTAAACAATGCAAGCCATATCACCCAACTGATGAGATCCAATTTTCTTTAGGCAGTTATAGACCTTGAGATGTTAGAACGGATTGATCTTGGTGTAATGGGGCTGAGTCGACAAGAACAATAGAAGGTATTTTTAAGTATATTGTGATCAATAAGCTACCTTTTACTCGCTTAGTGACGGATGTCTGCAGTAGTTTAAATTGTTTAGTTACTTGCAGGGGCAAACATGCAGTGCCGGTAGGAATTTTGTGTGTTAGACTAAGAGCAAGAATGCAAAGAATAGAGAAAACGTAATTAAAGAGAGGAGAGAGTTTTTTATAATAGCTTGCTAAATTTTATTTCATCATATTGCAGCATTTAAAGACTCTGGGTCTTACAAGTTTTAACTACCAACAAGTGGGAAACAAACATCCACCTGCTAAGCAAGTGGGCAAGTGGGTACAAAGCCTTACACTCTTTCTACCTAGTGGCTAGATTGTAAGAGATAAGAAGATAAGTAGGGCCTTAATAAACTATCTCAACACTCCCCCATGGAGCTAAGTCTTTGCATTCCAAGTTGTTCACACAGAACATCAAACTTGTGTTTTGGCAGAACCTTGGTGAGTACATCAACAGTTTGCTCTTTGGATGAGCAAAATTGTAGATCAATTTCATCTTCGTTTTGCACTACCTTACTGAGTGAAACTTGAATTTGAAATGCTTCGTTCTATCATGAAGCACTAGATTTTTTATGATAGCAATGGCGGCTTTGCTGTCACAAAACATCACAGTTGCATTCTTTTGCTCCAATTTCAAATCAACGAGAATTTTTCTTAGCCAGACAGCTTGATTTCCTCCTTTGGAAGCTGCAATATATTCAACTTCAATAGTTGATTGAGCAACAACAGATTGCTTCTTTGACTTCCAACCGATCATGCCTGAACCAAGAGAGAAACAGTAGCCAAACACACTTCTGCTTTCTTCATCAGAGCCAACAAGATCACTATCAGTGAATCCAATTAGATTAACTGGATTTTTGCCATAAAACACGCCATAATCTGCAGTGCCTTGCACATACCTAAGAATCCTTTTTGCTGCGAGTATTTGAATAAGGTGTGAGTATTGCTGAGTATATTCATCTGCGAGTATTTTTATATACCTGAGAATGTATTTGAAGAGGGCTCAACATTCGCCTTCATGGAGGTTCTTTAACACTTTGACGGCTTCTTGAGGTGCCAAACATCTTTGGTACGGACCTCCTTTAGATCTTTTAAACAAAACATCGTCAATTAGTAGGAATTTAGTTACCTTGAAGAGAAACGCCTTAGACTCCTTTTTGTCAACCGGTAAGGTGTTGTGTTTCAAGTATGCTATGTATGGTTGCATCCAGTCATCTTGTGACGAAGGTGTGATGGTGTTGACGGATTCCGATCTGTCAATTGCTGGACTTGACAAGTGAACAAAAGGGATGTTGTTGTTGACTTCTGCCCCCAGACATGATCCAATTGCAGCCAGGGCGTGTGCTTGTGTGTTTTCCTCCCTTGGCACTTGCTCAAAAGTGATTCCGTTGAACCACGTTGTCAATTCCATAACGACTTGCAAGTAAGACATCATATTGGGATCTTTTGCTGCATAAACACCGTTAGTTTGATTAACTACTAATAACGAATTACATTTTAACTGAAGTGTTTTGACGCCTAGATCATTTGCCAACGTTAATCCGACAATCAATGTTTCATACTCCGCTTCATTGTTTGTGGCATTGAAATCACAATGTATTGCTTGGAGTATAGTGTCCCCCTGTGGTGACTTTAGTACTACGCCCAGGCCTGCTCCATTCATGTTAGACGCTCCGTCGGTGTACAATGCCCACTTCTGTTGAGGCAAACTGTCCGTGATGAGGCATGTCTCCTTTTCAACTTCGGTTTGAAGCTTAGGGCTAAAGTCATCCACAAAATCAGCAAGCGTCTGGGACTTCAAGACAGTTCGTGGCTCATATCTAATGTCGTAGGCTCCCAGATGAATTGACCATTTGGTCATGCGACCTGACAACTCGGGTTTCCTCATGATTGACTTCATGGGATAGTTAGTCCGTACGCAAATAGTGTGTGATTCAAAGTAAGAACGTAACTTAATTGATGCAGTAATTAAGGCTAAAACCAATTTTTCAAGTAAGGCGTACCTGGTTTCGGGGCCATTTAGTGGCTTACTTATATAGTATACCGGTGTCTGCAATCCGTCGTCTTCTTTGGTCAACACGACGCTGTGTTTTCTTAACCCGTGAATATTTCTGACTTAGTCTGGATGTTTAGGGAACTAGGGGATTAATTTGCTAAGATTAGAGAATTTTTGTTGGAGCCATTTTGTTTGGCACTGTTCCTATGCCCCAAATGGAGGTAAGAGCAGTCACTTTTTAGGAATTTGATACTTTCGAGGATTGCATTGTAGGCATGGATTCACTTTTTAATTAATGAACTTTAATGGCTATTTTTCCTTGGTGAGGCCGAGATTAGAATGAGGTAATGTCTAGTGAGAATCCGAAAGGTGAAAATTTAATATAGCTAGACCTCT